TATCAAAACAGGATGCGACAAATGCGTCGTAACCATGGTTATCAAGGCCTGCGCTGGCGCCCGCGCAGGTTCCGAAGGACAACATATGTTGTTCAATGTGTTCTCAAGTTGCTACCGCGCGGGCCTGCAGCGCGCGCGTCGAGATCCGACGAACGCCCTCGCGCGCTCTCGCAAAAAAAAAGCCCCCCAAACAAAATTGGGGCGAAGTGCGCGCGCGTGTCGTCGCGCGCGCGCCGGAATCTGCAAGAGCTTTTAATTCCGCAAGGGTTTCAAACGCGAGGGCCCCGGTTGCATATGAACGAATGGTTTTGCAACATGCGTTTTCAACAGAAAAAATCAGCTCGCGCGCTCTGGCGAGCCCTCGAGGCAACCATGTTATGAACACTGCCATCAAATAGCGCCATACGGGCCTCTTGCGCCGCATGTCGAACTCATCCGAACGCCATTGCGCGCGTGGTGGAAGGCGCGATCCGCGTCAAATCATGCCGCGCGGGCCAATCGCGTGCGTCGGCCGCGCGCGCGTCGCACTTTTTGCAAACCGTCATCGCCGACGCCAGGGCATGGTCATTGTTGCCGGCGGGCGTGATCAGCGTCGGCGCCGCCATTGGCTCTGCCGCCGTCATCGCCGCCGTCGTCGCCATCATCGCATCTCTCAGCGCCCCATCTTCCGTCGTCGGCGTTGCCGTGATACCGCGCGCGCCCAAGTCACCGACTCGCACTGAGGTTCCCGCTGGAAGTGCCCTGCGGTCAGCGCCGCCGCGGCCTTGCCAGTCTCGCCGCACTAGCTGGTCGCTGCGCGCGCGAGCATGTGCGGGCTAGCGCGGCCGCAGAGATGCGCCAGCCAACGCATCGCAATTGTCGCCGCGTGCACATTGCCAACCGAGTTGCGGGCATGCTGGGGGGGGGGATGTTTGCGCGAGCAGTGGAGTTAACAACTTCGCGCCCGGCAGGGGGAAGTGCGCCGCGTAGATTGCGCCATATGCACGAATACCGAGTTGCCTTATATGCGTGGCCCAACGTAGGTTCCCCTTTCTAGAAGGAGATAGACTCGATCTCTTTTTCGCATTGCACTTCACACACTATTCTGCCCCATCGCCCATCCTAGATATGAGTTCACGCCATCTCAGCCCAGCCGGCATCGCCCCCCCCCCCCCCCACGCCCCCGCCATCCTCTGCAAAACAATGCTATGCGCGCGCACTCGTCTATCACAAAACATCAGTTTCCAAGAACCCCTTGCAAAAAAATAGAAGTGCGCACGCGCGCGTCGTCGCGCGCATGCCGCTATCCAGCAAACAACCGTCGTTTTCGCAAGGGCTTCAAAATCGAGCGATCAACAATCAGAGAAAGCCAAAAGGTTTCGCAACGCGGAGTTGGAACACAAAAAAGATATTTAAACAAAAAAGGGCGCGCGCTCTTGCGGCCCCCGGAGGAAGCCATCGCGTTTTCAACATGTTCATAACATGCTACCAAACAGGCTTCGCGCGCGCATGACGAATTCGCTCGAACGCCCTTGCGCGCGTGCTGGGGCGGCACGATCCGCGTCAAAACATAGCATGCGAGCCGCTCTCGCGCGTCTACCGCGCGCGCATGTCGAACTCCTCCCAAAACCTGAATCACCGACGCGAAGACGCCGTCATCGTCGTCGGCGATATCAGCATTGGCGCCGTCACTGGCTGCGCCGTCGTCGCTGTCAGCGTCGTTGCTACCATGATCGTGTCAACCGTTGTCGGCGTTGCCATTAAACCGCGCCCGCCCGAGTCGCCGACCCGCACTGAAGTGCCCGCTGGGATGCGCCGAGCGGTTAGCGCACCCGCGTTCGCGCCGGTCGCGCCAAACTAGCAGGCCGCTGCGCGCAAAAACATGTGCGGGTCCGTGCGGCCGCAGAGATGCACCAGCCAACGCCGTGCACTCATTGCAATCGCTTCCGCATGGGTTTAGTAAACCAAATTGCGGGTGGGCGACTGGGATGGTTGCGCAATTTCAAGTTCGGCAAGGTGAATTGCACCACATAGATTGCACATCGTGAGTTGCACCGAAAAGAAAACGCACAATAGGTCGCACCACATAGATACGACGACCTATACTGCACCAAGGACGTTGCACGACATTCAGTCAACCACGCATACTGCGCAAAGTATATTTTCCATTTCGAAAATCAGAGGCTCCACGCAAACACACCCCCGATTGAAACCGCCTCCGTATACGCATTGCAATGTCCATGCGTTTCTGCACCACCGTCCATCCTAAATTTGAATTCGTTCCACCCCAGGCATGCCCGCAACGGTTTCCCGCGCTCATCCTCTGCAGGACATACTGCGTGCGCGCACGCCTTTATCAAGCACCAGCGGTTTTCAACGGTTCCTTGCAGAAGACAGATTGAGGAAATGCGCGCGCATTGTCGCGCGCGCGTGCCGCACTTTTTTCAAACAGCAAAAGGTTTCGCTTGGATTTCAATCGGGTCACGGCTCCGCAACAAGAGCTGTAAGGCAAAGTTCTCGT